AATTCTGATGTTCCGACATAACACATAGGTTTGCATAATATAGAATGGCCTGGCTTTTCTCTTTCTCTGCTAGTAGGGAAATAGATCACATCCTTACTCTAACTCTTGTAAGCTTAATTTAGGAATAATTACATTCTTGCTAATGTCTTCACAAGTATAGAAATGCCACTATTTGTAAAGCTGAGGTACGCATATAAAAAGTTAACCACACATGTTAGTACATGCTTATAATCCTAACACTCAGAGGTGGAGGGAGGAGGATCTTAAGTTCTAGACTAGCCCGAGTTATGTAACTGACATTATCTCAATTGTCTTTTAAATTTTTAGGTCCTTATATATAATTTCAATTTCTATGCTGTCTCGAACTATTTCGTTTGGTTTTATTTTTAAAAGTTCTTACATTTGCTGGGCAGTGGTGGCTCACACCTGTAATTCTAGCTGCTCAGGAGGCTGAGATCTTAGGATTGCAGTTTGAAGCCATCCTGGGCAGCAAGTCCATGAGTCACTTACCTGCAATTAACCAACAAAATCTCAGAAGTAGAGCTTTGGCTTAAGTGGTACAGCCCCATCCTTGAGCAAAGAAAGCCAAGTGAGACTACAAGGTCCTGAGTTCAAGCCTCAGTATTGGCACCAAAAGAAAACCCCATTCTCACATATAATTTTAAAGTTATTTTCCTAGACTTGATTTGTATTTAAATGTACATATTCAATCTTTACCTTAGTAGTTATGAAGTGATCATCTTAGTGCACCTTTAGATTTCATTGTATTCATGATGCCAACTGGGATCAAGATGAATAAGCTATATAGCATGTAAAATCAAACATTGAAAAAACTCCAAAATTTTTTATCCAATAAAGCCCCTTGCATTCATAAGCTAAAGCCCTCTGAAAATCCCTATGTTTGAACAGGAAACTACCATCTGTTATCCAGTTTGCAGACCAATCCATTGGAAGATGTGAAATCAGACACTAAAGGGACTTCAGTAAAAGAACTTCATTTGCTAACTCTCATTGCAGAGTTCTTTTTTTGTGGGGGGGGGGAGGTCGGGGGATCAGTTGTGGGGCTTGAACTCTGGGCCTGGGCACTGTCTGAGCTCCTCACATCAAAACTAGTACTCTACAACTTTAAGCCACAGCAACAATTCCAATTTTCTGGTGGCTAGTTGGAGATAAGACTCTCAGGTACTTCCTTGCCCAGGCTGGCTTTGAACCATAATCCTCAGCTCTCAGCCTCCGGAGTAGCTAGGATTACAGATGTGAGCCACTGGTGCCTGGCTGCAGAGTTCTTTTAAGTGATGAATATGAACATACACAACTAATTGAAGTATTTCATTTCATAGGTGTTCTGCAGAAGATTCCTCCTAAGAAATTTCTTGTAGCTGGCTTCTGTTTCATATGAAATCAGAGAATCCCACCAAAGTTACTTCAAACTTAATGATGTTTAACTCATGAGTTCCATGTGCCTTTGCAACATTCAAGATTTAGAAGTCATTCGACTATTTTGTGATGGTGTTTATCATTTTATATTTTAAAGAGATTATTTTATAAGGAATAACTTTTAATACTATAGTTTCACCTGTAATGTAGTAAATTTTGAGATACAGTTTGGCTTTTAGGTATTATTTCTTCAGTTACTAGTATGAATACCTTTTGTGCTTTAAATTTCAGTTAACTGTATACTCATGACACATACAGGTCTTTCAAAGTCATCATTAATATTCATCTTTTATAAACCATAAAACTTCAAACAGCATTTTTTACACAAGCATGTTCTTAAAGTGACTATTTGTAGGGAGGTAGAAATAAGTCATACCTTCTAAAAACAGAAGCTTTTACTACACTCTTAGAAATGAAATCTAGAAAAGTGTTGACTTCTACCCAGGCAGCTCACCTCAGTGAGTATCACATCAATACAAGTACCTCTTCGTGCACAGTATTTATCTTCACTTTTAGATGGAAGAGGCAACTATTATTTAATATGCTGTGAGACACTTAAAGCAATATCATTTAGCCAAGGATGAATTTTCAGTTATACTACAGGAGTTAGTCTGGCTTCATTCTTTACATCTTCAACTTCAACTCAACAGATTGGAGCCTCATAGTTCTTGAAGAAACCATAACATTTATTATATACTGGGATTCTCAGAGCTTTAGATTGTCATGTAATTAGATACCTGACCAACAGGTATGAATATAATTTCAACACCAGCATCTTTTTTTTTTTTTTGCCAGTCTTGGGGCTTGAACTCAGGGCCTGGATATGTCCCTGAGCTGCTTCTGCTCAGCACTAGTACTCTATCACTTGAGCCACAGCTCCACTTCCGGCCATTTCTGAGTAGTTTAGTGGAGATGAGAGTCTCACGGGCTTCCCTTTCTGGGTTAGCTTTGAACCATGATCCTCAGATCTCAGCCTCCTGAGTAGCTAGGATTACAGGCGTGAGCCACCAATGCCTGGCTCACAAGCATCTTTTTGATATGGCAGTTAATTCTCCTATGAGCTATTTATACGTTTTTTGTTCTTCATAATTATCAGCACATAAGCATTGTTTTTAACCTTTGAAAGGGTATTTAAATGAGCATTGTCCAGTACATATGAGAATAAACATAGTACAGGAGGATTTCTGTCCACTCAAAGGTAAGTTAGACTGTACAGTCAATTTTCAGTTGTATTTATGGTACTGTTAAGTGGGTAATACTGTTTTCTTTAAGAGCAGTATATATATATATATATATATATATATATATATATATATATATATATATATATATATATATATATAAAATGCCTGCCTAAGTGCTCAGCTGGTGTTATACTTTAGTAGATGTAGAATTATTGATACTAATTAATTTTGATAGTTCATGTTTTATCATTTGGATCTGCACATTTGGTTTTTGCACAAGTTATTTTTAAGAGGTCTGAATAGTTGCCAATTACTAGAAGATGTTCTAGAAGTGTATAGTTTTTAGTCAAAGTGGCCATTGCATCTTCTTTTTTCAAATAGAAACACTTGAGAAAGTTGCAGTGTCATATGCTATTTTTTTTCATTGGTGCCTATACTGTAACAATTACTGGTAATGCATTCTATTTTGACTTAATGGTTCAGTTAAAAATTTTCACCTTCTTGATAGTTTCAATAGCAGTTATCTGTAGAGTTCTGGAAATAATTTCGCAACTCATACCATGGATTATATGGCTATTTTTGTAGAAGTAAGAGCAACAAGTTTGTAAATTAATTACATGAAACTTTGCAACATAAGCCCTGCATCACAAAAAGAAATTGTAATGCTTATTCATTATAGTTATTAATCCTGTAAACTGTTTTTAGGTAAAGCATATTCTACTGTTTTTCAGGTTTTACGAATAAATATTTAAATTTTGTGATCATCAGTGTTTTCTTGAGCTGGAGGTAGTATGGGGTAGTGTGCGATGGTGTGGTATATTATTTTAATTGTTTCAAAATACTTTCTCTTTTCCTTTTTATTATTGGAACACTATAAACAAAGTTTCTGTTGTAAACTAAAGATATCACATACATTAAGAGTTATACCTATAATGACTATATAGCCTGCCTCCTATCTTGACAAAATCTTTTTTTTTTTTTTTTTCCGGTCGTGGGGCTTGAACTCTGGGCCTGGGCATTATCCCTCAGCTCTTCAGAAGCTCAAGACAAGCACTCTACCACTTGAGCCACAGTGCTATTCCGGTTTAATGAGTAGTTTATTGGAGATAAGAGTCTTGTAGACTTTCCTGCCAGGTCTGGCTTTGAACCACAATCCTCATATCTCAGACTACTGAGTAACTAGGATGACAGGTGTGAACCACTGACACCAGCTTTGACAAAATCTTTAATGTACCTTCCTTTCAAAAATATCTACAAACATTATATGATCTCCCAAATTACCATGTTATTTTTTTAAAAAACTGCATATAGATTTGAACCCTATAGTTCCTATAGGAAACTATACATTTCACTAAGGTTTTTTCAAAAACTGAGATGAGAAAGAAAAGAAAAACAGAACATAAAGGAATTTGAATGTTCCTAGAAATAGGTTATATAGAATTAATAATAGAGGTGACCTTGATTCGCTATGTTCTCAGTGTTACGTAACTACTCTATAGACTTGTGAGTTACTGTATATATGTCCTGGAGAAGAAAAGAGAAAATGAGGTCTATGAAAAGGAAATTTCCTGATGTTAGGACTAGGAAACTGGGGAAACTTCTGAGTAGATTGAGAACAGTATTTTGGATCTGAATAAAGTCTGCTGTTGGTACTATCATTTGCTTTTCAGCTATCCCTCAGTTCCACTTCTGCACCCATTACCATGTTCACTTGTCTTCCTCCTTTTCCTCGTCCTCTAAATTGACCTGTTTCTTAGTAATAGGCCATAACCCATCAATTCTGAAATGGATTAAAACAAAAAGAAGACCATACTTATAACTTGTTTTTTTAATTGAATGCATTTTCCATCACTCTTTATTAAAGTAGCATCTCACTTCCTTACCAATATGCATGCGACGAAGACATGGCAAAAAAATTAACTTTCTGCAGGAGATACCCAACAAACAAAGTTATCTATGAATGTTTATCTCATTACATAAAATAAATAGTTAAGAATTGAGATATTAAAAGTCAAACAGCATACCATTCTCATCAGGCATATATCTGGCTTTAGAAATGAGCATAATTGATGAAATTCATGGGCTTACAATTCTGCCATGTCCTATATTAACTCTAAGAATGTGTTTTGTTGAGAAGAGCTCTGTTACCCTCTTATTCCTGATTTGGTAGGAGGGCCTTGCGCAACCCCCCCCCCCCCCCCCAATACAAGTACACAATACTGAAGTCTTTAATATGTAACAAACTTTTTTTTTTTTTTTTACTGGATTCCAATGAAACATTGAGGGCTGAAACTTTTGTTTAGTATTATTTAAGTACAAAATGATCGACATAGTCATAGTTTACTAAATCAGAAAACGACATTAGAAGCCAGTTGCATATGCCCACCCACGTTCTCCCCGTTTTTCAGTGTTGAAGAGTATGTCTTTCATTTATGTTTGTATGAAGAAGTGCATAATACTCCCTTCAGCCTACCACAATTCCCAGAGAAAGCTTGTTCCAGATGTTGAGAGGAAATTAAAGAGAAAAGCTCCAGGAGTGAGGCAACAGCTGGATCTTCCATACATTAGGTGGTCACAATTAGAAGATTCCCTTAATGTCAAATTAAATGTGACTAAGAAAATGGCTGATTAAAAAGTTTATTTCTTACCTAAGTCGGGCCTAGAAATGGTCATCGAGTTGATATTTTTTAAGCTAAGAAATAATTGCATGGTTTTAGCAGAGTCCTGTCTTCAGTAGCTGAGGTGGTGAAAGAAACACCTTCATCTTCCTCATCTAGTTGTAGACTACCAGAAGACAAGCGAATCCTGGCCATAGGTGACTTTGTTCCTTTACCATACAAAGAGTAGTAGTCTTGCTTAAGAATCTCTGATTCTGAATCACTGGACTCGCTAGCTATATACCTCTCTGCTGAAGTCTGATCCACCACAACTGCTGGGAACTCCTGTTCTGCAAACATACACGGGAACAGGTCTGCTTTACGAGTCAGAGCAGGACATGGCCCTAAAGGTCTAAATTCTGATCCAAAAGGAAAACGAATCATTTTCATGTCTGATTGACTCTGGGACCGTTTAGGGGTTTGCTCTTGAATGTTATATGCAAACGCATCTTCTAAATTGGGGTCTTCCTCTTCTAGATCTACATTGATATTGCCCCTACCACTAGTCCTGGCCATAGCTTCTTGGAGTTCTTGAAGATCTTGCTGAATGTTCTTCATTCTGATATTCCTTGGGCTTCTTTTGGCTGGCTTTATTGCAGTGGGTTCTCTATAGCTATCTGGTCTTACCCTTTCATCTGCCATGATTGGAGACCTCCTGGGCACCTGGGGTGGTTTGTCCACATAAAAAAAGACTTGGGGAGGCATAATATCAACCTGCTGCGTAGTATAAGGAACATAGGGCACATCTGTGTACATTAGCTGCCTTGCTGGACTCACTTTGCTTGTGAGGCCTGAGGATATGTTTATGTGATTGTCAGCAAACTTAGAACTTGTTTGGAAGGAGCTTAGAGGAGTCCTCTCCTCAAAGAAGTCTCTGGGATCAGGTTCAGGGTCAGTGCTAAAGACAGAGTCTGAATAAATAAAGGAGAAAGAGGAACTGCTTTGGGATTGGTGTAATGATGTGGGGTCTGCCTCTGGTTTGGAATGTTCTAGCTCAGCTGCAAAGGTCACCTCCACTGCAGAGTTCCTCCTCCTGCTATCTAACAGGGGCTCAGATGCATGCACACCATTCACATTTCGGTAGTACCCGCTGCCATAAGCCAGTCTCAAATCGTCCACCTTGAAAGAAAGGACAAGATGAAAAGGGGGTGGGGGAAACATCAGTGTGGGGACATGGTCTTAAGTTAGAGACAAATTTCGAAAGGAAGATTTTAAGAATGGATAAGGGAGAGTAATTAGGTGAGTACTTTGTAGACTACATGAAAATCCCACAACAAAACCCTCCCCTGTATTGGACAACTAATATACAAATTAAAAATCATTTTTTGGTGTGTTCTGGTCCTGGTAGGAATTGAACTCGTGGCCTAGGCACTGTCCCTTAACTTTTTCACTCAAGGCACCCTATCACTTGAGCCACAATTCCACTTCAGGCTTTTTGCTGATTAATCAGAAATAAGAGTCTCACAGACTTTCCTGCCCATGCTGGCTTTGAACCTCGAACCTCAGATCTGTCTCCTGGGTAGTTAGGATTACAGGCCTGAGCCACTGGCAACTAGCTTTTAAAAATCTTTAAAAGATTTCACAAATCATTTCAATCTATGTTCTAATCCATGATGGACAGCTATTGAAGAAAGAATAATAATTTGTACCATATCCTATCATGTGTTAAAAAGAATGTACAATAGTATTTGTCTATAGCATCCCATTTCCAGCCTCCAAGTTTTAGATACTTCAGGTTTCCTTGTGTCTAAAAAAGTTTAGTAGCTATATCAGTGAACCATGAATCTTGCATGCTCTGACTTTCCTTTGCTGTGTGACATTAAGTAAACGTTCTCCTCTTCCTATTCCAGGCTCTTCCCTATTTTCTGTAGTAGGAGGAGGGCATGAGAGTGTCAGATACTTAGATGTACCATTCATCATACCTGAGACCTTTCAGATAAAAATTACGACTTGAATGAAGTCAAGTGAGTTTATCATATCATAATTTGTCTCCATAGAAAAATTAGCCAGTGGCTCATGCTTATAATCCTGGCTACTAAGGAGGTTGAAATCTGTGGATTGTAGTTCAAAGCCAATTTACCACCAAAACGCTGGAAGTGGAGCTGTGCTTCAAGTAGTAGAGCAATAGCTTTGAGGCAAAAAGCTAAGGGACAGCACCCAGGCCATGAGTTCAAGCCCTAGTAGGTCAACAAAGGAAACATGATTAACAAAGTTTATACTACAGAATTCAAATGAAGACATTTCTGGGTTCTAGGCAAACAATACTTTCTCTTGAAATTAAGTTATATATTCAACAACAAAAAAACAACCCTAAAATATTAAAACCTCTACACAAAATCTAATATCCTTCTACAGGTTATTTTCTCTCTTGCCATTAATGAGTATTAATTATAAAAGGGGTTCACTGTGGTATTTCCTAATGCACATATTGCACAATGATCAGATTAGCCTCCTCTATTGCTCCAAACATTTAATTTAAAAAAAAAATATAAAGCTATAGAAACATCTTTGTATCTGCTTTCTGCAAGAGGATAACAATACAGGTTGCAACTGGAAGGTATTCCAGTTCCTTGCCGTCTTGAAGCTACACACCAGTGGTAGTTTACGAAATGGCTTATTGGCAAGAAACATTGAGCCAGCAGACCTCCCTGGGAGGCTAATCTACTCCAACAGAGTAACCTTTATACACACTGGGAGATTGTCACAGAATCAATTCTTGAACCATTTGCAATTAGGACAGATTACATTTATCCAAAGAGTTGTCAGAAACCTTACTTGTTTTGACACATCAGAGAGAATATCTGGCGATGACCTGCACTGTCGTTCATGGTACTGAGATGGGTAATGTTTCCTAAAGTCACCCAAACAGAGAAGTCATTGAAATGGCCATCCAGGGAATATGAGGATACACATTCATCTTAAAATTCAACTTAAAACCAGTATAACAGAGAAGCAAAACATGTTACCTTTCAAATGGCAAGCTCTTCAACCTTCCTTTTTTCCCATATTCCAGAAGTTGCCTTTGGGTTCTTCCACTGTTATAACAATGAAAAGAAAAAGCATGAATACTATCACAAGCTAATAGGCTACTAAAACTTGAAAGCCTCATTCATTTATTATTGAAACCAAAAGCATCTGGATTGTGACATAACAGCAAATCTCTGGCTAGCCCATGAATACTAACACCTCCTATTCATGAACCAATAATAGGACAATTTCAACTAAACAACCCCAAATAAGAATTTTTTCATTTAAAAAAACCCAACTGACTCTTAAGTGGCACACTATTTCTTATTAAGATATTTATCTGGCTTTCCAATCCATAGTGGAAGAAAAGCAGCTAACTAAACCATGGAAGAGGATTGCTCCAGTCAGGCATACACTAGCAAAGAAATCCAGCTGACTGCTGGGAGAAATACAAGAGCCAACAAAGAAATCACAAGAATAATAAAACCCCCTAAGTCTGGGCCATTTATCACTGTAGTGCGAGGCCTGACATGCCTCCTCCTCCCTCAGGCCAATGCTGCACTACAGCTGCCTGCAGAGGGTAATAAGTACTGTTTATAATAACTCAGGTCATTAAGAAAAGGGCAAAATATGCTCCGTATCGTCTGTTTAAGAAGGCAGAGATTTGCAGCATACACTTTGGAAAGATTCCATCCAAAATAAGGTTGTGTGTGTATGTGTGTGTGTTGTGTGTGTGTGTGTGTGTTTTAACATCTCAATTCTTATTGGGGCAGGCTTCCTTGCTTTGAAAAATCCCTTATGTGGAAGTATTAGCTTAGAGTGTTTTGGTCTTAGCTAAGACTTCTGAAAGCTTCTCCCAATGAACTCCTAGGCTCATGTGTTCAAGTAAAAACAAGATCTTAATCCCCCTCCCAGTCCTCCCTCCCTTGCCTCTGAGGTGTGACCTGTGGTGAGGAACTTCCAATGTACTATTGCTCATTCATTTTTAATCCCCTATCCCCTTCCAGTGCTTTCTCCACTCTACCCACCACTAAAAGGATGCTGCTGAGCTTTCCTTTCCATGGCCTATGTTAAAACTGCATATAGGAAGTGGTGCTATGACACAAGTAGTAGAGCACTAGCCTTGAGCTGAAGAGCTGAGGGACAGCGCCCAGGCCTAGAGTTCAAGCCCCATGACAGACAAAAAAAAACAAAACCCTGCATTTAAGGAAACAGTAGGTCTATTGAACACATCTCTCTCTCTCTCTCTCTCTCTCTCTCTCTCTCTCTCTCTCTCTCTCTCTCTCTCTCTCTCTCTCTCTCTGTCTCTTTTGCCAGTCCTGGGGCTTGAACTTAGGGCTTGGGCACTGTCCCTGAGCTTCTTTTTGCTAAAGGCTAGCACTCTACCACTTGAGCCATAGACCCACTTTCCAACTTTTTCTATTTATATGATACTGAGGACTCCAACTCAGGGCTTCATGCTTCCTAGGCAAGTACTCTACCACTAGGCCACATTCCCAGCCTGACACACACATCTTTTTTTTTCAAGGTGCTTATTGCAATTCTGTTCCAATCTGTTAGGTAGAATGCCCCTCCACCTGCCTCCTAATAGGAAGTACTAACTATGGCATACCTCAAATGAGCAATTTACGGTATAATCTTTCAAATGTCTCAGATGAATTCTCTATTGCTTCTGGAATTCACACTCCTCTTATTGCTGTCCATGTTACTGAAAAGAAGTAGTGTGTGTAGCTTTCCTGTGTGTAGTATGTAATTCATTACCTATAACGGAAACTAGAGCCCTTGCTGCAGAGGAGAGTTTTGGGCTTTGATTTTGGCTCTTCTGAAAGTCTGAAGAAAGCATGATACTCCACACAAGACTTCCAGAAAGCCTTACAGGCATCTCGGCTGGCCATGGTGAACTCCAACGTATCCTTGCACAACACCTGTGTAAACCAATTTCCATCAAGCAAAACATACTCCAAGAATATCAAAGACCTTCAAATCTTAAAGCCTTTCAACTCTTGGGCCAGTGGCTGAGGCAGCTTCTGGTTTTCCACTTTGCTCCCCATAGACTTCACAGTTACTGAAATCAAATGATTGGCAACCTTCTGAAAAGCAGACAGGGACTACTGCTCACAAATAGAACCTTGTGTAAAGTTCTTTGCATACTCCCCTTACCTTAAATGCTTTCTTTTACCCTGTCTCTTCTCTGCCAGGGATGTTTCTATGAAGTTGTAAATTAGGTGAAAATGAACCCTCAAAAGGTATACTTTTGTGATAACAAGAAGTTAAGAAGTTATAAATGATCATCAGGAAAGAGGTAGCAGATTTCCTTGTAGATGTCAGAGTTTTTATAGGATAATTACATGTACCACATGATTACATGTGCCTTTTTAATGTACCAGCTACAAATACTTCCTCTTTTGTGCTTTTATTCCGTACTGTATGTGCTGTTTTGCTTTTTTTAAAAAAGCATATTTGAATCTGTCCTAGGGGAGTGTGGCTTTCTAGACCTACTATTCAAGTTTGTCTCATTCTACCAACCCAAGACCACATGCCATTCTCATAATCCCATTTGCAACTGCCCCACCTACCTGTTGTACTGTTCTCCCCCACATTCTTTTCCAGGTTCCTACCAGTAGTGCCTGGCACTTTCTCCATTAGTTTTCCACTGCATCTGATTCCCTCAACTGCAAATACATACTTTCATAAAACACCAGGTTCCAGAGAATGAAGCCCATACTGGACCTTCTGCAGGACAAAAATTTTGTTGATGTGCATGTTTCTTTTCTCTCATGATCCTCAAATAGCATCTTTCCTGGCACCTTTATCTCACCATAGACAACACAAATGCCCAATCATTTCTGTTTTACTTTTACCCATACTGAGACTTGAATGCAAGGATGTGTGCCCTTGCTCACCTTTTTTTTTCCACTCAAAGCTGGCACTCTACCACTTTGAGCCACACTTCCACTACTGGTTTTCTGGTGGTTCATTGGAAATGAGAGTATGATGGACTTTTCTTGCCTGGGCTGGCTTTGAACTGTGATGTTCAGATCTCAGCCTCCAGAGTAGCTAGGATTACAGACATGAGCCACTAGCACCTGGTTATATTTCCCTCTTTTGCTTAAATGTGTATGAACTGTACCTCCTGCTTGGCTGGCACATAAGATTAGGAGTTAAATAATTTTTAAGGGAATTAGGTGATGATGTTTTGTAAAATGGAGAAGAGAACAACAAATGGTTATTTCCATAGACGGAGATCTAGTCACTCCCATCTGACTCATGAAATCCCTCCACAGTAGTTTCCATGGAGACTTGCCTTTCAGTCCAGCTGCCCCATGTTTCTATTACTTTATTTATTCAGAACTGAAAATCATATTCCTTAGTGGTTTGTATTAAGCTAAAATGTGACTAAAGCTCTAGCTGATGTATATAGAGGCAAGAGAAGAGGCATCTCACCTCCCCAGGGCCAGTCAACTGTCACTACTCATAACCACTTGCAGAAACAATCAAGGAATTCTAAGTGAATAGGAAGCAAAAATAATTTATTAGAACCTTACTTACCAAAATATTGGCATGAAGTTTGATGAGGAAATGTTTTCGCTTAAAACTCAACTTACGGATTTTAGCCCAGTTGAAAGTATTAATCTTTGTATTTCCCTATAATGAAACAGATAATTTCAGAATGTGTGAACATGAGTGAGTTTGTAACCTAGTACAAATATGATAGAAAATGTACTGCATAAACAGGACCATTATGACCTATCTCTTGCAATGACTGATCTTATTGAACTAAGAAGCTACAGCTAAGCATTCCAGATAGGACACAAGCTGTTCTAGAATGTAAGCAAGAGAGGAAATGCCGGGGAAAAGCATAAGCCACGATCCTAAGATTACAATAGGAAAGATCGATATTTTAGTTTCTTTAGTTTCTTCTCTGTTTTTCCAAGTTTAACTGCTAAATGAAAAGCTTGTTTGCACTATTGACACATTTTTCTCATATACCTTCAATAACTCCTCACTTCCTGCATCATGAAATCTGGGTAAGATTTTGCTGTTTCTTCTATATTGAAAACACAGTCATCTCTCTCTCACATTAGTACCCCAAAACACCTTTTTGGCTTTCTCTCCTGTGGTCTCTCCATTCTCCTTACCCTGAATGCTTTTCACACAGTAAAACCCCTCTCTCTCTCTCTCTCTCTTCTTCTTCTTCTTCTTCTTCTTCTTCTTCTTCTTCTTCTTCTTCTTCTTCTTCTTCTTCTTCTCTCTCTCATTTCTATGTCTGAGACTGGGAGTCAAACTAGGTACCTGATGCTTTCACTCATTGGCTGGCATTTTACCAACTGAGCCACATCTCCAATCCCAATAAAGCCCTCTTGTCCACTCTGATACACCTTCCATAGGAGATTCTAATTTCTTTAGTCTACTCATATTTCGTAGCTTTCTTGGTCTTCCAAATAGCTGCGCATGTTTCTTCATTCGTTTTGGTTTGTTTTGCTTTCTTGTTCATCAGGTAATTTACTCACATAATCCAAAAAGGTCAAACTATACACAAAGACACATAGTATTGAGATGTCTGGTCCTGCTGCCATTATCTCTACCTTTGTCCCCATCTACCCATTCCCTACAAATAACCACACTTACTAGTTTGTCATGTGTATCTGTTATACAGTAAAACTAACTGTGATAGATTAGCTACTGCTATGCGTAAGTCTGGTATTGAGCACTATTTCTATGGATCTTCACAGTAAGTTATAAGTAACTCTTTTGTCTCTTTTATGTTTAATGTGTTTCTATTTTTTATTAGTATATTTATTAGTACAAAGGAACTTCCTTGGGATATTACCATATGAGGCAGGATAGGTAGAAGAGAAAATGGGGAAATTAAAAATAATAAATAGAAAACAGGCCAGACCCAAAAGTTAGAACCAGAATTAAACTGAGAAACCAGAGTAGCAAGTTCCCCTCTCACCACTGTATTTTAGATGCTAAATTGTAAGAACAGGAAGAGATAAAGGTGCTGAGTGTATCTTCCTTCTCCTTTGAGAAGATAAGAAGCTGCTGGGTGCCAGTTGCTTGCGCCTGTAGTCCTAGCTACTCAGGAGACTGAGATCTGAGGATCATGGTTTGAAGGTAGCCTAGGCAGAAAAGTCCCTGTGAGACTCAATTAATCACTCCAATTAACCGGAAGTGGAGCTCTAGGTCAAAGTGGTAGAGTACTTGCCTTGAGCAAAAGAGCTCAGGGACAGCACTCAAGCCCTGAGTTCCAGCCCTAAAACTGACAAGGAGGAGGAAGAGGAAGAGGAGAAGGAGGAAGACGAGGAGGAGGAGGAGGAGGAGGAGGAGGAAACTTCAAACTTGATGAATTAAGGTAAAGACAAAAAACTGGAATGCATGTCTGGCAAAGGGAACTCCTGAAACTCACCTAGTAGCTCTGCATTTTGGACCGGCCTGTATCACATCTCCATGTTGAAGAATAATAAATAGCATCCATTTGGACCATTTGGAACCACTGTCTAATGATTAAGGGTTACTAATCTAGATGAACTCAGCTCAGAAAGTATAAATGCCTCAGAGAATAGCCACCATTTTGAGTCTTTACTGCCATTCCTTGTATGAGGAACTGGAAAATATTTCTCCATTTTTCTATCTCTCCCTAATTTATCCCATCGTACTAAAACTTCTACCTTATAAGATTCTCCTTTTTGAGACTCTCCTTGGAATTCTTTTCATGTGTAGATCAGAAGTTCCTGTCAGTTTGATTATAAATTAGGAAGGTGAGGGTACCCCCTCATCCCTTATCCCTTATTCTTCATCCAGTGACAAATGCATGTGTATAATATAACTTTAGCTTCTTGACAGTGTCATGCTTTATTCTTTTCAGTGCCTTTGTATGTTTACCCTTTCTTTGGAACATCTTTCCTCATCTCCCAACCTATTTTGTTGGCCTGGGTAACTGCCACATGTCATAGTTTAAATGTTAAGCCCCTTTCATCTGTATTACCTTAGCACACCATACTTTCATACTTTATATGTAATTACCTGTTGTTTGTCTTCTCTCTATTAGAATGTAAGTTCCAGGAATTCAGGATTACTCTTATTTACCTCTATAGCTCTAATACCTGGCATAGTACAGATGCATAATTAATACATGGGGGGGGGAAGGGGATGACTTAATAGATGGCTGCCCAACTGTGCAAATACAGTAAGAATCATTGAATCATCGTGTAATCTAAAACAGGTGAATTTCATGATATGCAAATTATATCTCCAGAGATCTGTTTTTATAAAGAAAGATACAATGAAAGAACACACACACACAACACAGAAAAGGCATTTAATACAAGAATATCTTTGTGGTTGAATTTGTGCTAGAGAAAACAGAGCTAGTTAACATCTATACTTTTTTTTTTTTTGCCGGTTGTGGGGCCTGAACTTTGGACCTGGGCGCTGTCCCTCAGCTCTTCAGCTCAAGGCTAGCGCTCTACCACTTGAGCCACAGCATCACTTCCCGCTTTTTCTGCTTATGTGGTGCTGAGGAATTGAACCCAGGGCCTCATGCATGCAAGGCAAGCGCTCTACCACTGAGCCACCTTCCCAGCCCAACATCTATACTATTATTAACTAACCAGGAAAGGATACAACATGATGGCCTTGCTCTCTTCCTTTCCCATCCTATCCTATATAGGATGAAATAGGAAGGTCAGAAGTTAAAGTTAAAGTTAAGTACTCCTTCCTAGGACTGAACTACTGGGATGTTGCCCATCAGTGTAACTTTCGTGCTGAATAGTTTACAGTCAACCAAATGGAAATGCGAAGATTCCCTTAGCTGAGACCTTGTCCATCCTGCTTTGTGACTTCAGTGTTTTAACTTGGTCTTGTGGTCAATGCACCTGAGGTCAATTCCTGCTTTCTCACAAATGATATATTTTGAACTTACATAGATATCTACCTGTAATTCTTTTCTATCATTTTGAAGGTTAGGCAAGTGCCCTTCTGGCATGAGCTACCAGCACCTGGCTCTAGAAAGAGGTTTTTGTTTGTGTGTTTGTTTTAGTAGATTGAAAATGTGCTGAGAAACTTCTGGTAATGCTCCTTGGCGTGAGAATTAATGATAGTGGAAGACCAGAGAACTAACAGGTGGCCAAATCTGAATAAACTATCAACTATTGCTAGTAGGGCAGGACACTAAGTCCCTACCAGCTGGCATCAGAGGTGTCTTCCAATTAAAACAATAGTGGACTGGGCACCAGTGGATCATGCATTTAATCCTAGCTACTCCAGAGACTGAGATCTGAGAATCCTTGTTCAAAACCAGCCGAAATAGAAAAGTCCATGCGATTCTTATCCCCAGTTCACCACCAAAAAGCCAAAAGTGGAGCTGTGGTTTGAGTAAGATAGCACTAGCCTTAGCAAAAAATAAGGACCAGGCCCCGAGTTCAACTCCAAGTATAAGTGTACACACACACACACACACACACACACACACACACAATCTACCAATGAAAAACAATTCACCATATTTGGGAGCACCTCAGGGTGCCTCTGGAGGATCTGGACAGTGTCACAGCCTCTGTTTCTCAGATGTTCAAGCCCACTGGTCTTGAATTCCAAAATAGCCTCTTGACTTCATCTCCCTACCATCCTGGCATCGAATCGAATCAACATTGGTCAACTATGGGTTGCATATAAAAGAAAAATATACTCAGTGGAGACATTTCCACGCCTTACTCCCTCTTCTAGCATTGGAAACTGACACTCCAATTTGAACGCAGATAACCACCCTACAGTCAGGTAAAGGACCGGAAAGGAAAGAGTTGTTACCCGTAACACCAGTACTCCCATGTGAGCAACAGCCAGGTGAATCTGCATCCCTTCACCATCACTGGCAGGCTGAGGTCGGATGCCATACATATCCAGTTTTCTGGCTATGTCCAGTAGCAGGATGTCTGATTCGGCTGGGCTCCTGCCACTGCAAAGGGAGAGGAATTATGAGCCTAATAAATGCAGTAAGAATGATGCTTCCTGCCTGGGAGCACCATGAGGAGTCAGCATTTTCCTGAGCCTTGGGGTTCTCAAGGCTTAGGGGCTTAGTTTTAAGAGTCTGCCCCCTGTTTTACTGTCCTGCACTGGAGAAACAGATGCCAGTGAAAGTACTTACGAGTGTTGCTGATGAAAGTGAATGATCTTGCTCTCTAAACAGTCTTGGTTTGGTAAGTACCGAGTTTGTGCCAGATGCTTCCTAACTGTTTCTTCATGAAAGTCTCCCAGTTCTGCTGCATGACAGAAAAGTGACATTGTTCACATTTACACTAAAAAGTTTAGCAATGGAGCACTTGGCAAACCTTCTGCTTTCTCCCCCAAGCCGACCTTTCTTTTTTATTGTAAGAATACCATACAGAGGCCAAGCAGACCTTTCTCTACAGTCATGATAGCCCCATGGCTCCCATCACAAGCTTTCCATATATTCATATTACTATGGGAGTGAAACAACTGGCTGGTTTTCAAATCAGAAGCAACGAGTTGCTATAACATTTCAGTACGGTAAGTTTGAGACTCATTAACCACATACTAAAGGACCAGGATTAGAATTAAATATTTTGTTAGAAGGTTTTTCTTCTCTCACCTTTTTTTTTTTTAAAAAAGAATCTCTCCTTCTTCCAACCAGCACATGTTATAAATTGAATTTTGTCTTCCCAAAGTGTATATATTGAAATTCTAACCTGCAGTATCACCAAAAGCAACTGTATTTGGACAGAGAACCTTTAAAAGGTATTAAATTGCAATTAAGAATATTAGCCAGACCCTGGTGTCTCATACCTAGCTACTCAGAAGGCTAAGATCTGACGTGTGCAGTTCAAAGCCAACCCAGGTAGGAAAGTCTGTGAGACTCTTCAATTAACCACCAGAAAACAGGAAGTGGTGCAGTGGCTCAAAGTAGTAGAGCACTAGCCTTGAGCAGGAAAGCCCAGGGACAGTGCCCAAGCCCTGAGTTCAAGCCCCAGGACTAGAAAAAAAAGAATATTAATCCACTCTGACTAGTGTCCACATAAGACAGAGAGAATTTGGACATACAGAGAGATGCTACAAATGTAATAAACACACAGAAAAAGGACTCTGGTGATATAACAAGAAGACAGCCATGTACAAACCAAGGAGAGAGGCCTAAGCACAAACCTCACCTACCAACACTTTGATCTCTTGGATTTCCAGCCTCCACAATGGAGAAGGAAAAATAAAACTTCTGTCATTTCAATTTGCTCCAGGAAAGTTAGAATGAACTTGTGACTTTAAATGAGCATCATTATTCCACAATACTGTGAAATTTGGGAAATTATGTAATCACATAATCACAATTAAAAAAAAAAAGAACCTCGGGGAAGGTAGAGAGGGAAGGGATGGTAGGGGGAAAACAATGGAGGGGTTAACAATGCTCAATAGGAAGTGTACTCATTACCTTGCTCATGTAACTGTAACCCTCTGTATAGTATCTTTACGATAAAAAAATTACAAAAAAAAAGAAAGTAAAAAAAAAAAACTTCTGTCATTTAAGCCACACAGTCCATGGTACTTTCTTGTGACAACCCTTGTGAACTATCTCCCCAATCCCCCCACACACTGATTATCCATTATCAAAAACAGGGGGCTGATAAAAATGCTAAGTACCTCACAAGCCAGGCACAGCTAAGTCTTCACTGAGTACATTGAGAGTCTAGTAAATCCCCAGCTATCAGAAATCCCCAGCATATGAATCATTCTGAAAATAATGCTGCCCTTTCCAAACAGCTAGCAGTGTATCCAAGATCATAATTTACTCTTTTCTAGATGCTTCCAGCTTATTGTTATAAATATCTATTGCAGCATTGTGCCTATACTGGTTACAGTGGCATTTAGGTTTATCTGTCTCTTAGTTTAAATGATTTCAGACTGCTTTGACTTTTGAATTCCTTTGTCTTCTTTGTGATTGTTATACTTCTCTATCAGATTTATAGTTACTTCCTGGTCATTGACTTCCCTCTGAAGGCAAAGTTTAGAATACTTTGTTCTCAATAGTGACTTTTAATCTAAGATAAAATGAGAACAGAGATAACCACACCTGTTAGCAGTATATGTTCTGTGAGAGTATATAAATTCTCCATGGAATCCTGTGGTGTTTTCCGATTGAGTAAAATATGCAGACAATGAGAACAACATTCACCAAACAAGGAATTGGAGGAAACTTCTCCAACCTGTTGAAGGTTATCTATGAAAAACCTGTAGCTAACATCATAAACATACCACATAGTCAGAGACTAAATGCTTTCCCTTAAAACCAGAAAGTAAACAAAGATATCTGCTCTTTCCACTTCACTCAACATTCTAAGTATAATCAAGCAACAAGAAGATATGTAAAGAATTTGCACTAAAAAGGAAGAGATAAAAATGTCTTTACTTGGAGTCAACATGATCCCACATGTGAAAAATCTTAAGAAACCCCCTCCCCCCCCCACACACAAGAAAACTATCAAGAATGAATAAATTCATTCACGGGATTCAGGAAGGTAGCAAGGTAAAAGGTTAATATATAAAAAGTAAACATATTTGGGTATACTAGCAATAAGCTAGCTCCATTTATAGTAACATTACAAAAAAATAAATGCCACAAAAATTCAATAAAATAAATATAAGACTTATTTACTGAAAATTATCAAATGTGGCAGAGAGAAATGTTTCAAATATCTATGTAGGTGGAAGGCGATTTCAGGTTCATGGACTTGAAGATTCAGTATGATTAAGATGGCAATATTTTCCAAAAGTGATCTATATACAGTTCTGATCAAAATTCTAGCAGAAATTTTTGAAAAATTGACTTATACTCTTAAATTTTACATGAAAATGCACAGTATGCAAAACAAACAAAATAACTGGGAAAAGGCAAAATAAAGTTGGTGTATATACACTTCCCTATTTCAAAACTTACATCAACGCTAAGTACTCAACAGTGCATAACTGAAAGTCTTGGCATGAACCCTTAAATTGGTTTTGGACAAAAGTGACAAGATAATTCAATGAGGAAATCACAGTCTTTTCAACAAATGGCTTGAGTATAAATGAACATCGACATGCAAAAATATGAAGTTGGGGCGTGGGAAGGTGGCTTAGTGGTAGAGTGCTTGCCTAGCATGCATGAGGCCCTGGGTTTTATTCCTCAGTACCACATAAACAGAAAAAGCCAGAAGTGGTGCTGTGGCTAAGGTAGTAGACTGCTAGCCTTGAGCAAAACAAGCTCAGGGACAGAGCCCAGGCCCTGAGTTCAAGCCCCAGGACTGGGGAAAAAAATAAAGTTGGACCACTGCAACATGCCATACAGACAAGAATGAACTCAAAATGGATGATGGCTCAGAAACTAAGAGATAAACCTGTAAGATGTAAATAAAAACTAGGGTAATATTTTATAATCTTAAGTTAGGCAAAGAGTTCCTAGATACAGTACCAAAAACCAGATCCATTAAAAATAAAGTAGGATTACATGAAAATAACAAAAAATGTACTTCAAAAGACAATCTAGAAGTGAAAAGACATGATTCTAAAATGAAAAGCATAGTTTGTGAGAGAAATTTGCAAATCACCTATCTTATAAATCAGGCTTTGTGTGAAAACGCAATCCTAAGATAACTCATTTTAAGATGTACAAAAGTTTTAAGTGTATATTTTTTCCCAGAAAATATAGAAATAAACACATGAAAAGGTGTTCATCATGATTTACCTACTAGGGAAGTACTAACTACAGTTGCAGTAAGATGTTTCTCTATCTGTATCAGAATAGCCATAATAAAAAGGTAGGCAATACCAAATGTGATTCTAAATCTGCCTCTGAAATTGTGCCCTGGTGACTCATACCTATAATCTTAGCTACTCAGGAGGTCCAGATCTGAGGATTGTTGTTTGAAGTCAGCCCGGGCAGGAAAGTCCATGAGACTCTTATCTCCAATAAATTCCTCAGAAAAAGCCAGATGTGGCACTGTGGCTCAAGTGGTAGGGAGCTAGCCTTGAGCCCAAGAAACTCAGGAACAGTGCTCTGGCCCTGAGTTGAAATCCCAGGACTGGCACAAAAAAATTATATATATATATATATATATATACATATACATATATATATATATATATATATATATAAAATAAATAAATGTGCCTCAGAGATCTGATGTTATGAAAATGTTCTAAAACCTGGATCGTGGAAATGATTACATGAGTTTGTAAATTTGGTAGAAGACATTATGCTGTGTAGTTTAAATGGGTGAATTTCATAGTATATAAATTCTACATCAATTGAGCCATTTTTAAATTTACACAAGCATATACACACGCATACCCCAACCTTTTCAGATTATTGAGAGCAAGATTCTAAGTTGACCCTAAAGGAAAACCTAAGAACACTTAAGGCTGTGTTAATTTTTCTGTGTGTAATGCTATAACAATCTAGCACTATAATTATGGCATACAAACGAATATGTATCAACAGTGACAGAGTATGACAAATTTCTCTCTCCTGCAAACTCTTCTTTATCTGGGCTTCCTGCTTCTTCCATTTCCCTTCTACTTCAATGGCTTCCCATTTCATTAGAGTCATGTTCAAGGTCTTAATATATATTTTTTTCTCTTTGGTCAGTCTTGGGGCTTGAACTCAGGGCCTGGGCACTGTCCCTGAGCTCTTTCACTAAAGGCTATTGCACTACTATTTTGAGCCACAGCTCTACTTCTGGTTTTTGAGTGGTTCATTGGAGATCAGAGTTTTATGGAGCTTTTTCTGCTCGGGCTAGCTTTGAATTGCGATCTTCAGATCTCAGCCTCCTGAATAGCTAGGATTACAAGTGTGAGTCACCAGCACCTGGCTTAATTTGCTTTTAAGTCCACCATGATTCCACTCCCTTTCTCACTCAGCCCAAGCCATTTATCAAAGCCTTTTTATTGTTTCTGGAACGTGAGGGCAGGTTCCCACCTCAGGCATTTTGCTCTGGGTGCTGTCTGGAACTTTCTTCCACTGGGTTTTCTGAAAGACTTATTCTGTTGCCTCCTTCAAGTCTTTGCTCATACATAAGCTCACCCTCACTGTCTTATTTACATATTCAGTAAGGGGGAAGAAGACAGTCAAGAATTTATTGTATGTACCACAAAATTAAGAAAAATAAGGGAAGGGGAGGATCAAAGGGAAATGAAAATATTGAAGGGGTGACACAGATGCACTGTTTACACAAACTGCTTTGTTAAATGACAAAAATTCAATAAATATCCTACAAAACTAAGAAAAGTGAGGGAAGGGGTGGGTAGAGGAGGGATGGGTGAGTATGTTGGAAAGGGTGATGTTGATCACACTGTATTCATAAACTGCATTGTTGAATGACAACTCATTTGTACAACAACTTAAAGACAGTACAAATATTTTTAATTAAATATTCAGTTCCTCCTCCCCAAATTCCCATCTCCTTTCCATGTTTTCTTTTTCTCTAATTGGTCTTAGCACCTTTTAACATTCATGATATAATTCATCTTTTAAAGTTTGCAAAAGTAAGAATTTGCATTTATTTTTATTGTTAATATTAAGTACTTGTATGAAAGGGTTGTAATTCTGTAAGTCAGGTTATAAGTACAATGCTTCTTGTACAATGTTACCCCTTTTAAAGAAAGGGTATTTTTTGTGCTGGTCCTGGGGCTTGAACTCAGGGACTGGGATCTGTTCCTGAACTTTTATGCTCAAGGCTAGTGCTCTACCATTTAAACAGCAACTCCACTTCTGATTTTTGGGGGGATGGTTATTTGGAAATAAGAGTCTTGTGGACTTGGGTTTTCCTGACTGGGCTGGCTTTGAAGTATGATTCTCAGATCTCAGCCTCCTAAGTAGCTAGGATTACAGATATGAGCCATCAGCACATAGCCTAAAGGAAGGATTTTTTACTTAGTTCACGCCCAGTGCTTTTAATAGTATCCAACACGTGGTAGCTATTCAATAAATTTGTGGCGAATGAATAACAATATATTACAAAGGAGTAGACCACTTAAAATGTATTAATTGGGTTTAGGAGGGAGTACCTATCTGGCTTGAATAGGCCTCGGTCTGCTTTTGACAGTGGGATATGTAAAATGAGAAGGTCACAAGGTGGAGCTTTTTAAATGTCTAGAATACAGCAGGCATTCAAGAAATACTGGAGGAAAGAGTAAATGAACAGATAAACAAACATTCTGTTTTCTGCACACAATCATAAAGTATAAGTTTGAATGGGATTAATTGTGAAAAGCTCACTCATGGAAACTTCAGCTGTTTTTCTATGGAAAGAGTTATTAAAGTCTGCAAGAACTCTTTGCTATGCCTGGAATGGCCACTAGGGAATGCCCAACCCCATATGGCAGAACTGTTAATAATGAAATTGGGATTTCCCCCAAAAGAGGCCACCTAGGAGTCCTACTCCCTTGATAGTTACTTTAACAGGAGCTAGTAGAGGAGGATGTTTTCTCTATCCCCTTCACCCCCACACCCCACAAATATAATACTGGACATATGTTTAGTGACTCTGGCATTCAAAATAATGCTTCATTTTCCACTGTTCCCTAAACAATCACTATGTTTGAACAATGCATCATTTGGCAGTCTATATGCCCACAATTTCCTTCATGCTGTTTTCTTTACCTATCATTACCCACTCAATCTGTATATGTCCCTTTAAGGCTCAGTACAAAAGGCAGCTTCTTCACCAGTGCTCTCTGATTACTACCGCTCTTACTGCCTACTGCCTTTTGGACAACATTTATCCCACCTGGGAGTCGCTTGACCAACACTGATTCAGACACTGACCTTATCCAAGCAATTCATTCTGAAGCTCCCTATGAAATCAGAAATTTACCATTTATGGACTGGTAGGAAGGTAGGGGACAGAGGTCAAAAATGAACTTATGAGACTAACAAAAAAAAAAAACAACAACCGAAGCTGTGATCTTGCTGGATTAGCAAGGAACACTGTATTCTTGGGGAGGTCTCTCTAAAAGACCGAGCAAGTCCAGCTGGCCTTAGAAGAGATGTTATCTCTAGCTACCCAGACCCTACCCTCAGGACTTCTGGAGCAGCCTGGTCTTCTCCACTTGTGCTTTCTTCCTAGGCAGGCCGCTCAGTTCCCCAGGCCTATTTCTGCCATCCTTCCTTATTTTTTTTCTAGTCTAACTACTTGGCTGTTGGACTATGAGGAACTCTAATAGAGGCCTGAGGCCTTTTTCCCTTTTAGCCTCTTTCTACCTGCTACATTGTTTGCTTTGTTCTATACCACTATGATAGAGAGTAACCAAGAAATCATACTGAACGAGACACTATGTTGCAGAGAGCACGTAGCAGATATATATCCTGGGGCAAACAGGGGGAATTGAGGCCTGTCTAGCCATTTCCATGCCCAGATTTGTCCAGACCAGCTCCTGGCCAGCAAGCCTAACAGCAGTAGTATGCAGGTGGACTGAGGTAGAAGAAATCAGCATTTGCTTTTCATCTTCAAAACCACCCCATGAGAAGGTGTGTCAATATTTTATTTTCTAAAACCTTTTATTGTTTAGTCTAAGGGTGATGGACAGAGGGGTTACAGTTACATAAGTCCCATGATGGGTACATTTCTTTTTGGACAGCAACACCCCTTTTTGTCACTATTTTAAAGACAAGGACATTCAGAGAAGTAAATAGACTTGTCGTGCAATTAGGAAATAGTAGAGGTAGGATTTGATTTATACCCCAAATGGCTGAAATGAAGCAAGATTGTCCTACTACCTCATGTCATTCAGCTATACCTCTGCCTAGCCTTCTCATATCTTAACCACAGCATAGAGCCAGGCACATAGAAGATGCTCAGCTTCATTCTCTATCTGGCTAATAAGCCCCTACATAGAATTTACTTACATTGTAAGATGTGAGACACCATCAATGCTGTGCAGTTGTCACTGCATGGGAGCCTTTCCAGAGCCAAATCCTTCTTTATTTGAAGAGTAAAAAGATACCTTCAAAGAAATTAGAGAGAAAAAGAATCTCCTGAGAAATAGAAATAAGATACAAGATGATTTAAAAAAAAAAAAAAAAAAAAAACAAGAAAAAAAGGAACAGTGCCCTAGTTAGTCAGATGTCCTTTTGGGATGTTGAGTAAGACACAGGCGTTGGATCAGCTGAGTTGGTGGCTAGGACTGGTTTGGGTGTAAAGCAACTAACTTGAGGGACTAATCATTCTCTGGTGGTTTTGCCATGGAGCAAACCATATCTCTAGCTAAAGAGAATGGGAGTTCCACAAAGTATGAGTGCTCAGGAGGTCAGCACCTTACTGTTCACAAAGTACAGTTGAGTATGCATCACAAAACAACCATGGAGGCTGGTGGAGCAGAAGTCATTTTCATTTTACACTTATTCTGCCAGGGGTTAGGTGTTTGGGGGACAAGTCCTATTACCCAAAGATACTGAAACTGTGACTACAACTCAGGCCCACCCAAACTGAATCCAGGCTACCATCAATCCAAGAGTATATTTCAGAAATCAAGGCCTCGTGTCTCTATGATCAAGGTCCAGCCCAGCACTTTATACCCAGTAGGTATGGAACTAACAGCTTCTAAATGCAGCCACACCACCATTTTTTTTCCCATGGAAGCCTTACCAGGAACCCATAAAATGCAGGTTGGCACAAAGGCTCTGCCAGATGGAGAGCATTTGTACCATTTGTGTAAGGCCATAAGAGAATCAACTTTTGGGGGGAAATTTATAAAACAAAGATTCTACTGCTGACTGCTTTCTTTCACAATGCAAAGAATGTTTCTATATAAAATATTTTATACATAAAAACATTAACTATGGGGCTGGGGAGGTGGCTCAGTGGTAGAGTGTTTGCCTTGCATGCATGAGGCCCTGGGTTCAATTCCCCAGCACCACATAAGCAAAAAGAAAAAAGCCGGAAGTGGCGCTGTGGCTCAAGTGGTAGAGCGCTAGCCTTGAGCTAAAAGAGCTGAGGGACAGCGCCCAGGCCCAGAGTTCAGGCCCCATGACCGGACCCCAAAAAAAAACAAAAAAAAAAAAAACATTAACTATCAGCCAGGAACCTGTGGTTTATGCCTGTAATCCTAGCTACTCAGGAGGCTGAGATCTGAGGATTGCAGTGCAAAGCCAGCCCAGGCAGAAAACTCTGTGAGACTCTTATCTCCAGTTAACCACCAGAAAACTAGAAATGGTGCTGTGTGGTTCAAGTGGTAGAGTAGGCCTAGAGTTCAAGCCCAGCACTGATACCAAAAAAAAGCTGGAAGTGGAGCCATGACTCAGCTGGTAGAGCACTAGTCTTTAGCAAAACAGTTCAAGGACAGTGTCCACTAGTCTTTAGCAAAACAGTTCAAGGACAGTGTCCAGGCCTTGAGTTCAAGCCCCAGCATCTGAACACACACACACACACACACACACACACACACACACACACACACACACGGTAATCAACTATTGCACATCTCCCTTGTTAAATGTGGTTTTCTAAATAAAGTTCTATATGGAATGTTTGAGTAACTAATGCCTTGAAGGCAAGATGGTGGATCAAAATTAATTGCAGATGATGGATGAAAATCTACATTGAAAAAATTTTATCAGGTGGCTTTTCAGGTTACAGAAACATTCATCAGTATAACTCTTCAAATTGTAAACATTCTTAATGGATCAGAAATGTTTCAATTAAAATTTGTGTTTGCAAGCCATTCTCAGATGTCCATGTATTAGCCTCAAACAAAGCATCTTCGTGACGTCAACTACAGGTAAAGATTCTCAAATGACCATTAAGGGAAAATTTAGGAGAGGCCTAACCTTTGCCATTGATTGTTTTTAATTATAGATGTAAATGTGAATCATCAGTGCAGTTGCAAATAGAACGTGCATTTTATTTGCTTTTAGGAAAATAAAAGGAAACTTCTTATCATTTGACACATTCCTCGCTGTTAAGAAGGCAGCTAGCTCGCTGCTACAAATACCAAACTCTTGCTCTGAACAGCTAATGAATCATTTATCATTCACAGTGATACTTTTCATATTTTTGAGAAGTTTTATCTTCACCAAAATTGGTCCCAATTTAAAACTCAATCGAAATAAGTTAATACTGCAGGCTAATATAGATGCAGAGTTATCAAGTGATCTAAGATAGTGGCCTACAACTCACAAATGTGGAGAGAACCAAGAGAAAGTAGGGGAGAGGCTCTGAAAAGTAAGTTCTGCAAAGACCCCTCAGCAAAGCTCCACATGCCCCCCCCCCATGCCAAAGGAGGTGAGGTTGAACTGGCCCTGAACCATGTAGGAGGGGAGATGTCAGGAAGAATAATTGCCAACATCCTGTGATCTTGACCAAGTCACTTTACCTCCCAAGAGATATTTCCTCATTTGTAAACTGAAAGGGCTGGGCTAGATTATTTACTAGATCCGGTCTATGTGAAAGAATCTAAATGTAGAATAAGGTTGGGGGGGGTGGGGGGGAGTGATACTCACAATACATCCCTGTAGATCCCTGTAGATGTAGGCTTGTGTTGTAGTGATAAAGAGCATTTTTCATAAGAACATAGCCACATTGCAAAATACAATCTACCTATAGGACACACACACACACACACACACACACACACACACACACACCCATTTCCAATGGCCGAGGAAATCTCTCGCCATCTTACCTATGCTGATTGAAATAGCCTCATGAAGAACATGCCTATAATGGCAACAGTTCATGACATAACCACCAAGGGGCCACCCAGATTTGCTTCTACTTCTAGAACACCATCCCTCCTTCTCCCTAAAGGCCTAATCTTTTGGAAAATTTAACATCTTGGGACCCAGTCAGGTCCTACTTCTAGAATGACTTAAGACTTCTCTCAACAGAGAGCCAGTCTATTCTTTGTTACACAGAGAAGAGGATTCTCACATTAGGTCATGCAGCAGATACACATGTAACACTCTACCTTGTAAGCTCTTCTCGAAGATGTCCAGGGTCCACTGGGAAAAATTTCACCATAAACTTGAAAACAACTTCCTTAGGATCTTAAAACACAATATCCCCATAAGTTTTATTTAAATGTCCATCACAACAGTTACAAGTCTTTACAATCACACACAAACACACACAAACACAAACACACCCCTCCTCTTCCCTCCCCTCTCCATTACTCCTTTCCACAGCTTCGCATAGATTTCCATTTTTCACATGTCCAATGTTGATAGTTCAGGATTGTCTGAGGATGAACATAGCACTTGGGAAAGTTCTCCTATGCCTCTCCTCGCCTTTCCTCCCTCTGAGTAAAGATGTTTCCCTTTGGGGCCTCCTGTGTCCTCTGTTAAGAAGTGTCCCACCCAGGAAGGTAAACCACTTGCTACTTGGGATGCTGCCTTCCTGCCTGAGAGAAGGCCAACTTCAGTGGAGCAGATCACTATCACCTGGCCTATGGAGCTCATAAATGGAACTGGACACACAACAGGACATCCCTTTCTATCTGAAAGCATACTTCTGAAAAATCACACCTGCTGATTCTCATACCTACTTGCATTTGAAAAGCAGAAATTTGGGGCTGTAGATGAAATCGAATGACAGAATACTTGCCCAGGCATGCATAAAGCACTGGGTTCTCTGCTCAACATGGCAAAAATGAACAAGAAGACATTGTTAATATCCCAAATCACCACATACAGCAACATTCACCAAATAAATAGTTGCTGGGTGTCTATCATACCCAAATATGATGCGAGGCAGACATTGGAGAGTGCAAAAAAAAACCCCACAAATCATTTAGAATTCCCAGACCAGTCTGGTAAGAAAGAAAGTCACCCAGTCCTCACTAACCCCCTCCCCCCCACACAAGAAAAAAGCACTGTGGAGAGCACAAGATTCACAAAGGAGTTTGGAAACATCCAAGGCAGTCTTCCTAGAGGAGTCAACACCTGAGTAGTAAAAATGCAGGATTCTCAGTTCAATGTGAGTTTCAGTTAATAATTGCCTGAGATGTACTTCCATAAATAATATTCTCTGTTTATCTGAAATTCCAGTTTGCTAGGGTATCCTATAATTGTCTGTGAGGCCTACCCTTAAGATTCATTTTGCCAATGTAGAAGTGGAAGAATACAATTGGTTAGTGGCAAGGGGAAAGCTGGCAGGTAACTGGACCCCATGAAAACAAAAGATTAAACTTCCTGGGTAGTGGGAGTCATGGAGACAATTTAAGCACGAAGGAGAGGAGGTCAAGCATGTATTTTCAATAGCTCCCTCTGATAGTAATGTAGTTCAGAAGATGATGCAATAATATGATAGATCATCATTACACAGTGGGAACAAAGAACTGTGGGAAATATCCACGTGTAAAGAGCAGAAGGACAAAAGAACCAGCAAGAGACACTGAGAATGTTATCTCAAACTCTACATTGAGTGAGTCTGGTGATACAAGCCTGTGATCCCAGTCACTTTAAAACCAGCTCAGGATACATGGTGAAAGTCTGTCTCAATCAAACAAAAGTGTTCACCAAAACCCACTTGGGTCGGAAACACCTGTGGAACCTGTGACACATTCAACCTAGAAATGTGGCCCAGGAATCTCCATTTATCCAGAAGTACCAGTGATGGTCATGTACACTGCAAATTGAAAAACATCCCCACTACATTGTGAAGCATCGGGGCAATCTTCCATCCATAGTAGGTATATGCAATGTGGACTGACACAAAGGAGCAATGTGTGTGATGGGATAAAACTAAGGGATGTTCAGGCAAGAGGTGAAGGGCACTGCACATTGTCATTATGGATGTTAGGGGATGTGCAGTGTCAGTGAGCTGTCTTGCTAGGGCCAATCCTCTGCCATAATTATCCTCCTTCTTCAGATCTACTCGAAGATTCAGCGGTGTGAACTGCTTCATCTCAGGCAAAATTAAGACAATTTTCTCAATTGCTAAATCTCCTGGATGTGTGAAGAATTGAAATCATATTATCCAACTCCCTTCCGCCCTTAATATTAAGAGGAGTTGAAATCTTTTTCAAGTAGGAAATGAGACCTATATTCCTTAAAGGCTTTTTTTTTTTGGTACTTACTTTTTACTTGTTTTGTTATGGGCTTCAGAAGTTCCAACCAAACCTGCAATCACATTAATGAAAAAATTGGTAGAACCTGGCACTGTCTGCAGCTTGCTTTCTCTTTTTGGTACCCGATAAAGGTCAACATGAAATGAGCAAATACCAGGACTATTTAGACTTCTAATGACAGACAAACAGGGCCATCATAAAGATGATGCACCTTCCTCACACTCAATCGTCCCCCTCATATTTTCTGCCAATAACAGTGGACATTGTTGATCTATAAACTTTGTTGTTGACATTTGAATTATTGCTCCTCTGCCTCAGTGTGATGACAGAGGTGTCACAGACGAGGCTCATTAGTGCCTACAAAGACTAATGAAGGCATTTGGCTCCACATTTGAATCCTGCAGTCCCCAAATGCCAGCTTAATAGACCTAATGAACTTTTATGGAAAGGTGCCAGATTACACATATGCCAAGGCAGGTCATAGCAGAAGAACACTATGATCACAAAAGCCTAAGACATGGCAGGAAATGTCCCCTGCATATGCTCCCGTGAGGTCCATAGTCTTAATTCTGGGGACTGAGGATCTGCCTCTAGACAATCAAACTACAGAACATGTGATGAACTGTTCAGACTGACAAAATAGAAGCACAAGGCAGAAGAGTTTGGTTTGGCACAATGAGGAAACGGAAATAAACACTGAGGGAAAAGGTAAAACTTCGTGATTTTGTCACAAGGTAAATTTCTTCAAAATCTTCCATCAGGGAGTAAAGCTGTACATACCTGGATACAAACTATATTTAAAAGCAATTCAGGGCACCAAAACCGAGCAAGGTGCTGGGTGGTTCACACCTGTAATCCTTGCTACTCAGGAGGCTGAGATCTGTAGGTTGGGGTACAAAAACCAGCTTGGGCAGACAAAATTCTAAGAGACTCTTATCTCCAATTACCCAGCAAAAAAGCTAGAAGTGGAGGTGTGGCTCAAATGATAGACTGGTAGCTCTGAGTGAAAAAGCCAAGTGAGAGCTTAAGGCCCTGGATTCAAGCCCTACTACTGGCACAAACATAAAAGACACCAAAACCTTGGAATAAAATCGAACTTACATTATTTCCAGAATGACTGCAGAATTCTAATCCAAAATATTCCTTCTCAGCAAGATTGAGGTGGCTGCAACTCAGGTTAAACAGTGCTTTCCCAGAGGACTTTTGCTAAACAAAACAAAGAGATCAGAGTATACACAACCTATTATTGTCACTACACTGTAGACTAAAGACAAAAGGAGACTCGAAGTCCACATCTTTTAAGTACAGTTTAGAGGACCTTTAGTCTCCTAAATGCTGTGGAGACCTTTACAAATACAGATGTGTCATTCTACCCATGGCCTTAGCAATATTTCTAAAACATCTTCAGACGAATGACAGACCTCAGAAAAACAAGAACTGTGCATTAAACTATGGCTAGATGTGCAAATTTACCATTTTAATGGAAATCCTGCCTGCATTCATATCCCAGGCAATTTGATTTTCTCCAAATTGACAAATGGTTTGATTGAGATATAAATCTGACCCTTTACTGCCCCGCTTCAAATCCTTCAGTGGGGTTCTCTCTCTCACTCTCTCCCTCCCTTTCTTTCTCTCCAGCCTGTCGCCTCTTCCTGACGCTTCCCCCGGTAATAATCACAGCCAGCTCCCAGTTCCCTGTGCACCTCAAATCAAGTCACTTCATGCCTCTGTGCCTCTATTCCTGTCATTTCGTTGCCACAGTGTGCCCTTCCCACCTTCCTTTGGCTTGTCTTTCTCCAGCTCTTCTCAGATGTCATCTTCCCAGGAGAGCTTTCCTTGATGTTATTGGGGGGAGGGGGGTGGTGGTGGGCGGGCAGACCTGGCGCTCTTGAATGTCCTGGCTTACCTCAAACATGTCACTTGTTACACTGTACTATCTCCCTTCCTCACAGTGAATTCTCCCCTAGCTAGGACAGGCTTTGCTTTTTTTTTTTTCTTGTTACTTTTCAGGTTTGAGAACCAGATGGACTCTCAAATGTCTGTCAATCCTCCAGGAAAACAAACCAAATGAATCCTATGAGTTCCTTGCACAGATTCCATTTTGTAGCTTGGCCCACTAAATCTACATGCGAGGATACTTTGTTTACATAAGCTACACATTTTTTTTCTTCTTCCTAAAACACCCTCCCTCCCTCCCTCCCCCCCCCCCCCCCACACACACTGTGAGCACAAAGCAATGCCTTCCGTAGGATTCTCTGACAACAAGAGCATTGGCGAACACTGTGCAAACTCTGTTTGAGCTCCGTGTGGCTGGGGCAGATCTTCAGCCACCACTATTGCCTAACCCCAAGAGCTGTTGCGGGGCGGCGGGGCGGGGGAGGGGGGGGGAGGTGGTGATGGGAAAATTGGGCCCTGGCTGATAGGCATAAAGACATACTGCTGAAAAACCCCTAGTTAAAGAGTCACGAGGTCCTCAGAGTGCTGCAAAGGAAGCCTGGTGCAGGGAAAGGGAGCTGGAAATCACCGACCCTTAGAATTAACGGCAACCTTGAGAGGTCACAAGAGTCCATCCGCCTCCCCTCCCCCCCCCCCCCCCACCAAGGCAGCACCACACTGCACAGAGCTCACATCTGGGATTTAATAGCTTCCAGGAAGGCGGCCCACCTCCCCACTTCCCTCATGGACCAAAAATACGCCCCTTCTCCCCACTCCCCCCCCCCTCCGGACTTCCCTCCACTTGCTTACACTGCCCAGGGCTCGACCAAATCGAGATCCATTTGGGTTAACCATTGTTCTATTTTTAAACGCAAATAGCCCACAAAGGGTGAAATCTATTGCACCCCAGCACCTGGAGAGCGAGTTGCTGCACTGAGGGACCAGAGGTTTGGTTTGATGTGGGAGATTGCGTTTTGGAGCTGCAGTCCAGGAAAAGGGAGAGAGCACTGGAAGAGGAGGTGGGGCCTGGAAGAGGGGGCGCCTGGCTGGGGAGGGGGGGGGAGAAGGTGTGTGTGTGTGTGTGTGTGTGTGTGTGTGTGTGTGTGTGTGTGTGTGTGTGTGTGTGCCTATGTGGCAACCTTGCCTAGGGCAAGTGCTGACACAGACCATTCCAGACAGATGAAATCGCTCCTATTTTTAAAGTCCTCCAGACAAGGAGCTGCCATGGGATTTTTATTATGAAGAAAGAAAGAAAGGAAAGGAAAGAAGAAAGGAAGAAAGAAAGGAGAGAGAGAGAAAGGAAGGAAGGGAAGGAAGGAAAGGGAAAGAAGAAAGAAAGAGAAAGAAAGAAAGAAAGAAAGAAAGAAAGAAAGAAAGAAAGAGAAAGAAAAAGACTTCTACAAAGAGAGGGATGACAGCAATGCTTTTCTCCAACAGCAAAGAAACATTTCAGTCACGAGGACCACATTCCATCACAGACTGTAGTTTCTTTACAAAGGATTTCAGAAACTCAAGCTTTCCCTTTTCTTCTGTATTTTACTTCTGATTTTTCCATGGAGCCGCTTCATCCTTCCTATCAAGAAGGCCGGGTTCCATGTGTTCTGTGCATGTAAAAGTTTCTGTAGTCACACAGACTATTTTAGCCAATCTTGGAAGGTTTAACATTGCCTCTCTTTTTGCTCCCTTCCATGAAGTCTCATACTATGTTTATTTAGAAATAATCCCGATTCTTCCATTCCTGTAAATGTTGCCAAATGGCTCTCAAGATCTCTAGCATTTGTGCAGTTGGAGGTCAGGCACTCACGTGGTTCAAACTTTCCACCCCTGTCTCCCGGGCAGGCATTTCCCTTCAGTTCTCCATATGTACATAGGAATTGGCCCGCCTTGTGGAATGTATTGCATAATAGGTACTGCCTTAGTTTTGTCTCAACACGCAGCCTTCATTTTTTTTTCTACCATTACGATCTGATTCTTCCATTTTTAATGTTATGGTTATCATCCTTGTGATTTCTCTTTATACACAACTTTCTTGATTTTTTTTCTTTCTCTACTTGTGATTCTTTGTACACTTGCCTGCTCTTTTTCAAATTCGCATCTGTGAACACTCTAATCAATTAGCTTCCTGATGGACCTGAAATTTGTATAACCAATCAGTCTTCCTACTCAAGAAGTTAAAACTGAAATCCCAAATTCTGCCCTGCCCTGTTCCCCTTGCATTACAGTAGAGCAGTATCTGCTCTCTCTAGCTCTCTCTCTCTCTCTCTCTCTCTCTCTCTCTCTCTCTCTCTCTCTCCCTCCCTCTCCCTCTCCCTCTCCCTCTCTCTCTCTCTCTCTCTCTCTCTCTCTCTCTCTCTCTCCCTCTCCCCCCCCTCTCTCTCTGTTGCTGTTCTGGGGCACTCAAGGTCTGGGCACTGTAGCTGAGATTCTTTTGCTCAAGGCTAGTACTCTGCCACTTGAGCCACAGCTCCATTTCTGGAGTTTTTGTTTTGAGTATTTTATTGGAGATATAAGTCTTACAGACTTTCCTGTCTGGGCTGGCTTTGAACTGTAATCCTCACATCTCAGTCTCCTGGGAAGCTAGGATTACAGGCATGAGCCACCAGAGCATGGCAGCAGTGTCTACTTTAAATAAATTATATATATATATATATATAATATACATATATGTGTACATATATATGTGTATATATATTTTTTATTCTTGTGCCAGCAATGGGGCTTGAACTCTGGGCCTGTGTGCTGGCCACTAACTGGTTTGTTAATTTATTTTTCACTGAAAGCTGGTTCTCTACCACTTTTGGCTTTTTGGTGGTTAATTCAAGATACAAATATAACTAACTTTTCCTGCCTGGGCTGGCTTCAAATTGTGATTCTCAGATATCAGTCTCCAGAGTAGCTAGGATGACAGGTGTAAGCCTTTGGTACTGGCTATATATGTAATTTTATAGTGCGTAAGTTCCAAATTAGGGTTTTCTGCATGTTACACGAGCTCTTTACCACTGGGATACATCTTTAGCCTTTGTATTATCTTGTCTTTTCGAACTTGTGATTATAATATCCTATTTATTAGATCATAACCAAACTCCTTTTCTTATGCAAAGAATAATATTCAAAATAGCTAGTTCTAGAAACTAATCTGCCAGGCACTAGTGGCTGATGCTTGTAATCCTAGATACCCAGGAAGCTGAGATCTGAAGATCACACCTCAAATCCTACCTGGACAGGAAAGTTGGTGACTTTTATCTCCAATTAATCACCCAAAAACCAGAAGTGGAGCAAAAAAATCTCAAGGACTGCATACACCCAGGTCCTGAGTTCCAACCCCAGTATCAGCACACACACACACACACACACACACACACACACACAAAATCTGCCCAAATTTCTATGCACCTACAGCTGTCATATACCAATTTGTTAAAGTCGACCTGGATTTTAGTCTTTCTCTACTGAGTTTCTGGTGGGATGAATTGAGACAAACCAAGTATCTCACAGATTGATCTAGCTGGTGTCAGTTACCTGAAGACAAAACCCATGTGTTTCAATACCTGGCATTATGCATAGTACCTAGAAGTCAGTAGACATTCAATAAATGTTTACTGAATAAACAGATGAACTGACCCAAACATTTTACTTGATTCATGAACATTAGTATAATAGATGATAGCTCTCTCAAGAGGAAAACAATCATTGTATGACTTTGAGAATATTATGCAGTATTTCCAAGTATTAATTTATTCATACATGAAGATAATAGTGGTATTATCTCATCATACTGTTGGAATAAACAAGATATTTCACATTAAAATCTTAGTCTGGCACATCAAAAGATATAGGTAATGCATGCTAATAAATATGATGGCATAAATCTGGAATTACTCACATCAAACTATTAACAGTATCATTCTTAAAAAGGAGATAGGAGTTGTGCTGTGGCTCAAGTGGTAGAGTGCTAGCCTTGAGCTGAAGTGCTCAGGAACAATACTTAGGCCCTGAGTTCAAGCCTCCTGACTGACCGCCCCCCCCCCCCCCCACAAAAAAAGGAGATAGGGCCAGGTTCATGCCTACAATCTTAGCTGCTGAGGAAGCCGAGATTGGAGGATTGTGGTTCAAAGCCAGCTGTGGCAGAAATCTGAAAGATTTTATTTCCATCTAATGAGCAAAAAGCCAGATAATTGAGTCTTATGTTTGCGGATAACTAGTGTGTGTGTGTGTGTGTGTGTGTGTGTGTGTGTGTGTGTGTGTGTGTGTGTGTGTGGTTCCAGGGCTTG